ATTTACCTTAACTCTTTGGAAAATCATGGAATCTGATAAAATATGTTTCTTAAAATCCCATGACTAATATCACCCTCAAAGTCTGAATGAATCTATAGAAAATGGGTTGTTTCACCTTGTCAATGAAAATTTGACCTTGAAAACCACAAAATAAGGTTTGAGTAAGCACACACTCAACCAGCCCTGTCTTGCTATGGAACACGGAACAGACCTCAGCAAAGAAAATTGTCACCTGTCACCTTCCTGGACATGTGGTCTGTTCTGTGGCTCTACGAAGCCACAGAAACAGTCTATTAAACTCTTGCCAACAGGCAAAAACCACAGTCTCCTTAAAGAACAAGGAAAACCAGAATGGTGTTTTTTGCTTTTGTCTCTAAGAAACAAAAGTTGAGTGGCAAATAAAAATCTAAATCTTCTGGAACTAATGCTCTTTTAGATATGGTTTCCAATTTTAAGTACCTGTGCCTGATTATTGATCACCACATGTCTTTAAATGAATAGATTAAAACTTTCTCCATAAAGACGAACTATAAAAAAATGATAGCTGCTCTCTGGAGAATGAGGCACTGTCTGATTGCTAAACTTAGATTCTGATTGTGAAGAGTGAGCTCTCTTTCCAAGCAGAGATCTGCTGCTCAACATCCTCCTAAAGTGAGCCTCCCTCCTCCTTTCTGCACATAGCCCACCTAGGAGGAAATTCTGACATCATTTCTCCTTAGTTTATTGGCAGGTACCTTATCTTTAAAGTGTTACCATCTCTACAGAAGTCAAATGCATGTTACTCATTTTCCTCATCTCGAAATATAGGTCTTTTTTAAACAACTGCTCCTCATATGCATTCAACCCCAAATTTTCGGTTTGGATCACAAACATTTTTAACCTCTTCTTTCATTAGACTGCATCATTTCATGATGAAAGTAGTCAGTGATCAATTTGATGATGATTATCAAATTTAAAAGCAATAACAGCAAGTCAGAAATGGTGCTGCATCTGCCTCCCTGTTACTCTCCCTGTAAAGTGGACAGAGTGGCTGGCTCTTTCCCACCTCAGACACAGTGGACAGCCCTATCCTCCCAGGATTTTACCCAGGTGTGTGCAGGCAACACAGGGAAGAGAAGCCTGATTCTGCAAAACAAAACTGGCGATTGGATCAGAAACACTACAAAGGTGAAAAGAATACAAGAGAAATGGCCAAGCATGGATCTAAGAAACTTCATAGATGACTTTCAGACCTCATGGACTCCAACTAAACATACTGCTGAGGGAGGGGTTTCTAGGGCAATAGCAAGGGTCTTGATGCCTGGGGCAAGTCACTAGGCAGTTAGTATAGTGAAGACTCCACATAGGAGAAGAGTAGAGGAATGGCCCCTGAAAACAGGCAGGAATAGCAACACTTATATCACACAAAGTAGACTTCAATCTTACATTGGTCAAATGAGACAAAGAAGGACATTTCATACTAATAAAGGTTAAATACATCAAAAGGAACTAACAATTATCAACCTTTATGCACCCACTGTGAGTGCACCCAATTTCATCAAACATACATTGAAGGACTTAAAAGCACACACAGACTCCAACACAGTGGTAGTGGGAGACTTTAATACCCCCTATCATCAATAGATTGATCGTCCAAACAAAAAATCAGGAGACCAGGAGAGCAGGGTGGGGTCATCTAGGGACGCAGTGCTGAGGAGGCAGGTGACATGTGCCACAGGTGGTCAGGCAGGCAACCAGGCCATCATATCTGTTTGAATATACCATAATTTACTTAACCAATTCCCTACTAAGAGGCAACCAGAGTAGTTCCAGGGTTTTTTGGTTTTGTTTTGTCTCATTTGTTTGCTTTGCAACTGCAAGCATCTTTCTATAACTCTCCTTATACATATATCCTGACACCTTATTGATAGGTACCTGTGGGTTGAATTCCTAGCAAAGACATTGTTGAGTCAAAGAATATCAGTCATCTCTTTTACTTAGGAAAGATATTAGTAGAGTGGAAATGGAATGGCAAGTGTCTCTGGCTTGGCATTATTGCCTGTCTTTATAAAAGTGTGGGGGAGGGGTGATGACCCCAGATGGAAAATAAAGTTGGGGGCCTATGTGTCACACATGAAGACTGTGAATCATCACCCCTCTTCCCCTCAATGTGGGCTTCACACACATTAGGCCAAACATGGTAGTTCCTTCCAGTACCGGGCAAATTTGTCCACAGAAGAGGACAAAGAAAGTTTACTTGTCAAGGTGCTTAAAGGCTTTGCTATAGATTTCACCACAATTTTAGTTACACCTTTTCTCAGGGTCAACTGGAGGTGATGAAAACAATAAGTAGCAAGACAAACTGTCCAAAATATACAAGGAAAATTGTTATTCTCTGTCTTATATATAAGGCACACAACTGTTGTTAACAGTCTTGTGTATAGTCTATCCTAAAAGGAATTTCACAATTGTTCCTATTGTAACTTGGAGGACACAGTTTGAACTCAGCAAGGAGATTGCATCTCTGGCTAAAGGAAGACAGTCTTTTCCAAGATTTTTTTCCCCACTTCTCTGTGGTATTTCAATGATTGACAAACAGACAAAAATATATTTATTTAAGGATTATCTATATTGAAAACTAGACCTGGGATTTTTTTGTCTGTCAACACTGCAGTAATATCAGCTATTTGAACAAAAGGAGAGATATTTTTCCATTCAATCCTGAATGCTCAGAATTCTCCAGCTTATATTCAGAAAGACATTTGGTTTTATTGATCATGTTGGCTGAATAAGTTTAAACTCCAATAGCCAGGCAAGGAGAAGGTTGATTTTCTTTTTATTGTAAAGGTTATTAAGAAGAAACCAGATATAGAAGTTATTTGTCCTTAAACCATCCTGTGGAATCAGAACCACACAAGTATGTTCCAGAAGTTTTGTTCAAAACCAATACTTTGATGGTCTCAAGAACTATGATCTATCTGCTGTGAATGTTAATTTTATTTTTAAAGATATGGCTTGTTTCAAGAAAGCGCTTTGTTATCAGTGGAGAAATGTATATTTTCCCGCTTTTAATTGATAAGAAATTTTGAAATTCCACCAGCAGTCTGAGAATTAATAGGCCCCACTTGGATTGTCTGCAACCCAGAACCCTTTGCTATAAACGATAACTCTCTCCGCCCACTTTCCCAGCATTCTTGCCTACAAACAATGATCTTTTCTTGGTGTACTTTTACACCATCTTCACATCTGAAACAGAGGTTTCTAAAACACTAAATGATATCCATTTTGTTAAATTTCTCCTCCACTTTTCTGCCTGTCTTCTGGTTTCAGATTTAAGGGAATGAACCAAATCCCTCAAAACCATTAGCATTGTTCCTTCAAAGAAAGTCTCAGCTACCACAAAGTCCTCCCCTGGGTTTTGTAGACATTCTATAACCTATCAGTGAAAAGTGAGGAAGAGAGAACCATGGTTAGCGTGTTAGATTGTTCTGGTGAAAACACAAGTTTAGGCAGAAACAGTATTGCCTAATGGAGGGGCTTCTTTCAGATGTGCCCTTTCTCTCAGAACCTTTTGATATTTACCCTTTGACACGATTCGATGTAGACAAGGACTGCCTTCTCCTTGCTTTTGGAGAGCAACGCTGTGACTTATAGAAATGACCACAATATTTTCTTTAATGAAGTTATGCAAATCTGATAGACTAAAGTAAATGTTTCATAAAACCAATGACTGTTTAAATTGTAGGACTAAATTGTTTGTATATAAATATTACCTTTTATATTCCATTTGAGTTTTATGTAGATGAGCACATTACTTTAATGGCCTGCATTTTCGGAGGGAGTGTGGGAGAGTTGCTCCCTGAAATTCTCGCCAGCCAGATGGCTGCCTTTTCTTGCATGAGATTAAAAGATGCTTCTATTCGCCGTGATGCTTCTGAGGCAAATTAATATCACTGGCTAAATTGCTTGTGTTTTCGGAATAAAATTTAAAGAGAACTTTTAAAGCAATCGGTGTCACAGGTTCTCAGAGCAGATTGCTCTCCAGGTAGAAAGACATTCGGTAATTAATGGAAAGAATTCTGTGTTAATTGACTGCTTCGGGAAGGAAGATATAATGACTCCTTATTAATCATGAAAAGAGATGTACAGCACGGAGGCCCCACAATAATTGCTCCAACCGTGGAGAAATGTTAATTAATGAAAAGAACAATCATGGAAAGAATTAGCTGTATAAAGCTTGCCGTGGATGGAGGTTGGGTTTTAGATACATTATTTAGAGTGAAAACCACAAAATGTTGCCTGAAATAGCAAATATGTGCAACCTCTTACCACCCAAATTTAGGGGCAGGAAAATCTTTCAGGGCTCCTGGCATTTTTGCTTGAAGAAGCAAAAACATTCATCCAGAACTGTATTTTTTTCAAAGAAAATGGCTTTAGATTCATCTCTGATCTGGCCTTCTAAAGTCAAAATCATCCCCAGATGAGAACAAGGTCATTTATTAATGTCCTTTAATTTCAACCCTGGAGGTCATTCTGACTGCTGAGGACAAAGGGAGTGGAAGATGGTATTTTCCCCAAATTGAAATAAATTCAATTCCTGATATCTCTCAGCTGATATAAAGAAAAATTCAGATTCACTTTGAGGGGCAGCTGTCTTTTTTAAAGATTCTAATTTTAAGTCCCTGAGAGAACATTCCACTTCCTCTCTCTCTAACAACTCATTTTCCAGAAAAGGAAGCCAACTTTATTAACATGGAGAAGCGCTGTTGGAGCTCAGTCCCCTGGCGACCAAGAAGCTCACAGTCATTAGTGGCCACAGGCCAAAGCTGTCCTGATGGTTCTGCCATGTCTGGGGAGCTCCCCAGCCAGTCCTTCCCCAACTCTGTGTGATGGGAAAAGGGACACCTTGAGGACGAGGTAGCTAAAAGGCACAAAGGCTCCAACATTGCACACAACAACCAGGTTCCCTGTCTGCTGTCCCTGAGGGAATCCCACTGACTTGCCCTGGCTTTTCCTTGCAGGTGGAATGTCCTGGGATTACAGGGTGCTCTCCTCTGTCACTTCATTGAGCCTGTGTACCTCCACAGCATCGTCGTGGGAAGCCTGCACCACACGGGCCATCTCTCCCGGGTCATGAGCCACAGGACGGAGGACATCGGCCAGCTGCCCACCTCATACCGGCACAACCAACCTCTCCTCAGTGGTAAGGAAACATCACCCTGGAGGGACCTGCCACCTCCTTCCTGTCGGCAGCCCATGGCACTGGCCTTTGGGCAGATCATACTTACTTTGGTTAATAACTATTTAAAACTTAACGAGCAAAATTGCAACAATCCAAAGACAGACCTAAAAGAGACAAAAGGATACAGTGTATCTCTGAATAGAGGAATAAGCAACATTTTAGCATGAATTCATGTGGGACCAATCATACATTACTATGTGGTTTTTTATTTGTTCTGTTCTGGGGTTTTGGTGGTACTGGGGTTTGAACTCGGGGCCTCAAGCTTGCTCTCTGTGACTGGGCCACTCCACCAGCCTCACTGTGTAGTTTTGACTGCAGTGTCTAAAGTAGCCAATATAAACAAAGACCCTCAATGACGTGTGTGCAGCAGGTCCCCGGCATCTGCCTTGATGCTATTCTACAGGAGGCCTTGCAGAGGAGCAAGCAGGGGGGTGACAGATGCAAAGAGAAGGAAGGTGGCAACCAGGCCCAGAAGGCCAGCTGGAGTGGGTCCCAAAGTGTGTAGGAAGCGTGCCTCAGAGGCAGCAAGGTGACTCTGCAAGCACTGATCTGGCCACAGCTCTTGCTTCCCACAGAGCCCAGGTGTCTTTAGAGACCTGGAAAACTTCAGCTCACCTGGTGCACAGCTGGTTGTGAGGGTTATGGGTCACACAGCTGAGGAAACACATTGGAAGTCATGCAGTTTTGTGCACACTAGAAAGTAGCCAGTAAGAAGTCTCAAAGGGTTTTGGAAAGGTGACCTTTATCTTCTGTGATCTTCCACAATAAGGGGCCTTCCAAGTTGATGGGAGTTGACTGAAGCTGAGAGAGGAAGTGTGTGAGGTTTTAACTGTATTTCATCAGTCTCGTGGTGGATACCTGGAGGAAAACTGTAGATCTTTGAGTTGGTTCCTTGGCTGGGGCAGGTGAACTGATTGGAGCAAAATCAGGCAGGTGCAGTGGAAACAGCAGAACTCTGGTGCAGAGAGCAGCTTAATCTAGAATCCAGGAGAGAGGGGACAAAAACCACAGGCTTTGCTCCTTCAGTCTGAACCCAAATGCTTGAAAGAGATAATAGTAAGATGAAACAGCCATTTTGACATTGCAGCTGGGAGTAATTGGACTGAGATTTATTCCCAGAGATCTAAAATTATTCTACAATAGAAGATCAGGGGTAAAATCGAGGGTGGTGGGAGCAGTATATGGAAGGAAATGAAATAATTCGTGCAAAATGCATAATTATGCTAAGCAAAGCGTCTAAGAAGATAACCTCTCACAAAAGTGCGTCCACTTATTCATTTATTCTGCCATATTCACCACTTAAAAATTGAGCACCTTCTATGTATTTTTGTGGAAAATAAGATCACAGATCGAAAAGTTAAAATAGAGAAGGTAAAAGAAGGGTGCTCCCCAAAACATCCCTGAATGGTGACTGTATCCCAATTCCTTCACATATTAAAATTTCAGATTTTTAGACCAGATATGGTGATGTGTATCTATAATCTCAAAGGAGAATCTTCACTCAAGGCCACTCCAGAGTAAAAGTGTGAAATTCTTTCTGAAAATCAAAGTAAGAGCAAAAGGACTGAGGAATGGCTCAAGTGGTAGAGTTGCTAGAGAGCAACTCCAGTTGCTCAAACCCCAGTACTGCCAAAATAATAATAATAATAATAAATTCCAGGCTTTTTTAAACATACAAGACCTTCTGCCTAAGAGTCTGAGATCCTGTTACCTTTTGTCAGCAGTGGACAGAGTTTTGTGGCACTCTGTCATTCTACTAAAAACTAATTCATAAGAGGACTGGCTTTACTCTGTGCTCAAATCCATGGGACCTAGTTAGATTACAGCAGCTTGCAAATGTTGCAGTAAAGGAGAACTTATAGTCGATGTTAGTAATCCTCAGTGAGGCTATTTGAAAGAGGTAGGAATGTTAAATAGCTAACAGCTTTACCTTTCTTTACTGTACCATAAGGGTGAGCTAGGGTGGAAGGGGTGGTTTCTTCGCTACCATCCACCATCCTTAGGGTTGAGTTAATATTAATAAGGCAGGGTCACACCTACATACAAGTGGGGACTTAACTTCAGTGTGCTTGCTGCCATTGTTTGTTGTGGCATCCCCATCTCCCTACTTCTGCTGCCAGCTTTGGCTGTCCCCTCACCCTCAACACAGAGAGTGTAATGAGATTTCCTGTGTTGGGCAGAGTTAGTTCAGCTCACAGGTCCAAGCCATAAAAAGCTGGATCCAGTCTATAGGTATGCCTAAAGCTGCAGAGTCTCCAGGATCCAAACTTAGCTTCTGAGAAATGAATGATCTCTGGGTGGTTTTCTTGGTGGTAGAGAGAGATGACTACCCAGAGGGGCCTGATCTGATTGGTGCACTTATTATAAAGTTCAAAAGCTTCTTCAGAGAATGGCGCTATTATTTATCGAAAGAAGATAATGCTTCTTGAATAAGTATTCTCTCTTAATGTCAAGTTTATGTTATATTGCATTAGATCCTCAAATGAACCAGCAACAAGTAGTATTATCTCTGTTTTTTAAAAGTCAAAAGAGACTCACATAAATTCAATAACTTTCTTAAGATGCTTTATAAACTTGCTCAATAGGGACCAGGAATTTGAACTCAGATCTGATTGATTTAAATAGTAAATTCTTTCAGCATACCACATTGTGTCCCACAGCAACATAGTGCAATTGTTTAGAAGTCTATTTTTAAAACCATAAAATTAATAATGCAAAACAAGACTAGCTGAAGAGGTGGCAACATCGAACTAATGGTGAATTGGCGTGGGAGCAGTAAACCAACCCACTGAAGCTTGTAAAACTCTTAGCTGCCCGCTTTTCTCCCAATCCTTGAGATAAGAGTCGGGACTCATCCACGGCCAAGTGCAAAACTCAAGGTCTAGAAAATTGTATTTATTTTTTTAAATGGTCAAATATTTCATCAATTCTGATTTTTAAAAAAATCACTTTGGGGAAAATATCCCTTTTTCTTGCTTTCATTCTTCCTTTTTTCCTTTCTCCTGTTGTTTCTTAAAACTACTTATTGTGGTTAATAGTAACTCTGGGTAAGACCTAGAATGATTAGGTTAGAACCAGAGGCAAATGTTCCCATATTGGAGACCTCAAAATATGGTGTAGCTCTTAGTTTTATTTTTAAGTTAAACTTAAGAGAATTTTCATTCATTTTGATTGGTTCAATTCTCTCTTTTTCTGTGCCCTGGATCTTTGAGTTGTCCTCATTCTTCTTTGTTCATCTACTAGTGACAAATAGTTCAAACTCCGAAAGTACAAAGAAATAGAAAATACAACTACAACCATCCTTACTGAACTTCAAGGAAGTGGTTATTATCCATCCTTTGGGTACCAGCACATCATTTCCTGGGCATCTATTCTTCTTCTGTTCTCATCTGGGAATATGTTAACATAAATAAAATAGGAATTTTTTTTAATTTCAAGTGTAAATGCAGTGAATTTTTTAAAAATTTGAAAAATTCAGTACCACTTGACATTGTTGAGTGCTATAAAAGCAAAGCACTTAAGATACCTATTCAATCCCCTCCCCCAGGTGACGTCTGCCTGTACCACCAGCAGTGTGGTCTGACTAAGCATTTCTATCTGTACTTATGTGCTTGTTTAGAATATGGTTTTTATTTTGTAGAGGTGCAAATAAGCCTACAGCTTGATATCTCACCTGCATGCAAGTTCTAAACATTAACTGCATTACTCTTAATAGACATTTAAAATTTAACCATGCAAATTTTGTTTTTTTTTTTTGTTTTTTTTTTCTTTTTTTTTTTTCTTTTATTATTCATATGTGCATACAAGGCTTGGTTCATTTCTCCCCCCTGCCCCCACCCCCTCCCTTACCACCCACTCCACCCCCTCCCGCTCCCCCCCTCAATACCCAGCAGAAACTATTTTCCCCTTATCTCTAATTTTGTTGTAGAGACAGTATAAGCATTAATAGGAAGGAACAAGGGGTTTTGCTGGTTGAGATAAGGATAGCTATACAGGGCATTGACTCACATTGATTTCCTGTTAACCATGCAAATTTTGAAAGGAAGTGATTAGAACTACTTGCAAAATAATAAAAAGGGTTGAGGTCTTGCATAAAGATAATAATAAAAAGACACTCAAACAAGCAAATGAGTTGTGCTTGAAGCTTTCCTCAAGGTCAGTTTGCAGAATTGTCTTAAAGATGAAGCGCATGCATTAGTAGAATGAAGCCTGCAATTTAGAAATGACAAAATCAGTTCTGGGTTAAAAAGAGCAGCCAAGCTGAAAAGGATACCCTTATTAACCCAGTCATAGGGCGTATATTAATGTTCTCCAAAGACATACTTGGAAAACTGCACAGCCCAGGCTAACCCATGGCTAGCTTCAACCAAAACCCCGCATTGAGGCTGTCTAGAGTCCTGAATCCTTCAGCAAATGCTGCATCATTGCCTGTGAACAGCTACCCCAAAAAAGTCCTCCCTTCATCCTTCTTACGAATTCAATAAGGTAAAAAAATAATGGTGAGAATGGTAATCAATAAAAATCTGTGCTTTGACAACACCACCAACAACAGGTGTTGGCGAGGATGCGGGGGAAAAAGGAACCCTCTTACACTGCTGGTGGGAATGTAAACTAGTACAACCACTCTGGAAAAAAATTTGGAGGCTACTTAAAAAGCTAAACATTGATCTACCATTTGATCCAGCAATACCACTCTTGGGGATATACCCAAAAGACTGTGATACAGGTTACTCCAGAGGCACCTGCACACCCATGTTTATTGCGGCCCTATTCACAATAGCCAAGTTATGGAAACAACCAAGATGCCCCACCACTGACGAATGGATTAAGAAAATGTGGTATTTATACACAATGGAATTTTATGCAGCCATGAAGAAGAACGAAATGTTATCATTCGCTGGTAAATGGATGGAATTGGAGAACATCATTCTGAGTGAGGTTAGCCTGGCCCAAAAGACCAA